TTTTAAYGAGTAACCTCCTGCTATTGTGCTTCAGGATCTGAGTCAGTGTGATTTAAAGCAGATCAACAGTTTTATCTGTGCAGTTCTCTAATCCGGTTCCCCGAGTGGGACCTGCATGGTTGGGAGAGCTGCAACACATCAGCCCTGTGTGGATAAATAGAAAAATGCAGCTAAATACTTGCACATTAATGTTTTATTCCCATGAAGCGGCCAACTAATTGTCTCGAGATTTCTCTTATTTRTTTCGTTATAATGTGCATCAAATGATTCAGATACTTGCAATTTTTTTAAATGGTCTTTATCAATTTACGGGCTGTCTGAGGGTATTTCAAACTTATATTTTTAGTACTTTTTATTTAAATGTGGCTGCTTTGTTGCTCATTTTCAGCCAGCGCCTGATCATTTGCAGACATGTTTTGTGGAGGATGTTTTCAACATGCTTGACTTGGACTTTTGAAACATTTGGGCATAAAAACATTTTGAAATTTGTGAATTGACCATTGCGTTGAAGAACCAACCAGAAACCTTCAAGAACTATAGTACTTTTTAATTGGATTAGCTAACAGCTAGTTAAAGAGCTTGTAACCTGCTACTAACTTTGTGAGTTAATTCAATTCAAAAACACTTTATTGATCCCAGAGGGAAATTAGGTGTTGTTGTAACTCATTTAACTAAAAACTTATTGTAGATGCTGATGGCTGTGGGCAGGAAAGATCTTCTGTAGCGTCTGTATTACAGCGAAGTTGAAGAAGCCTCCGACTGAAGACACTTTGTCTTTCTAYGACAGTCTGATGAAGAGGATGGTCAGGGTTGTCCACAATGTTCTTGATTTTATGTAAAATCCTTCTTTGCACCATGATCTCCAGAGATTCCACAGTCATCCCCAGAACAGAACCAGCCTTCTTTATCAGGTTGTTTAGCCTTTTTAGGTCCCTGGCTCTGATGCTGCTGCCCCAACAGATGATGGCAGAAGAGATGACGCTCTCAACAACAGACTTGTWGAAGATCTGCAGCATCTTGCTGCAGACATTGAAGGATCTCAGCTTCCTTAAGAAGTACAGTCTGCTCTGTCCTTTCTTGTAGATTGCTTCACTGTTGAGTCTCCAGTCCAGTCTGTTGTCCAGATGAACACCCAGGTACTTATATTCCTCTACCACCTCCACTTCTTCTCCCATGATGGAAACAGGGTTTGATCTAGCACTATTTCTCCTGAAATCTACAATCATCTCCTTTGTTTTGTTCACATTCAAGATGAGATGATTGTTCCCACACCATGTCACAAAGCGGTCCACCAGCTCTCTCTACTCAGCTTCCTGTCCATTTCTGATACACCCAACAACTGCAGAGTCATCTGAGTMTTTCTGTAGATGACAGCAGTCTGACTTGTGCTGGAAGTCTGAAGTGTACAGTGTGAACAGGAATGGTGAGAGTACAGTTCCCTGTGGTGCTCCTGTGCTGCTGACCACATGGTTAGACACACAGTCCTTCAGTCWCACAAACTGTGGTCTGTTTGTCAGGTAGTCTTTGATCCAGGCGATTGTTGAGGCCTCCACCGGAGCCTTCTGGAGTTTCAGACAAAGCAACTCAGGCTGAATTGTGTTAAAAGCACTGGAGAAATCAAAGAACATGATCCTGACAGTGCTGCCTGCTTTGTCCAGATGACAGTGGGTTTGTTGAAGCAGGTGTTTGATGGCGTCATCAACTCCAACTCCACGACGATAAGCAAACTGCATGTGTGCTTGTTTGCTTACTCAGGTGGGTCAACAGGAGTCTCTCTAGGACCTTCATGATGTGGGATGTCAGGGCAACAGGTCTAYAGTCATTGAGGGCTGATGGGTGAGTTTGAGTCGCAGCTTTTCACAAAGGCACAATGTTTTCCTATCTCTGGAAAATATCAAAAACGCTGTTTGACAAAAAGAAATATTATTTTAGAACCAACAAGGTGGTTCTTAATAAGCTACATGATGATGGTTGGAGATGTGAACGATCCAAATCTTTTAAATGGATCTTAAAAAAACAAATGACAGATAATTGTGAGACGTTCTTTTCTGTTTTTCYTCATGGTTTCTTCCTCAGACGCAGACACACACTCCTCACATGGTACTGTACTCACATGCAGTACAGTACGTCTGTTCAAAGTGATGTAGGACGTACATAATGACGTCAACAACCACTGAAAACTGAACGGCTGTTTGAAACAAATCCATTTCYCTTCRAAAAGCCATAAATTTATCACTACTAAAGTATGTTTAATTCTCTCTGAACTTGGCTGGATTTTTTCTGTTTCTTAAAGACTTGTCTTTCAGAAATTACGTTTGAAATGGATTAATATGTAGCCATTCAACTTGTTCTGATTCGACGTTTTGTTAACTGAAGATTGTTWTAATTTTAATTTATAATTAAGAAAAAAGGGGCAGATATTATAAGATTTTTTTCTTCTCTCTGCCACCATTCATTTTATTTGTATTTTGTTTTTTATTGTACATAGAATTTTGTTTTTTTATGGAATGAATAAAGTTTGAAAATAAAATAATATTATTCATCTATTGTAGTTTATTTATGTTGTTTTTATACCTGATACTGTGGTCCTCCACTTGTTCGTTGTCCTCATTTTTAACACTTACCTCATATCTTGTCATGATCAGCTCCATGAACTGGACAGAAAAGCAGCCAAAGTTCAAAGGAAAACTTTGACAGAAGAATTGATCAGAATCAGCCTCTGGGGGAACGTGGTGCACATTAAGAAGAACATTTGTATTAATAATTCAGCTCCTCACGCAGGTAATTGAACTGTTACTATAGWAGGAACCACTAATGGATTACATTCAGAAAGATGCACAAGTTGGTAAAAGAAGCATTAAGTTGCTGTTTTTTTTCACTTCTTGTGATTTATTCTTGTGATCTCTTCACGTTAGACATCATTAACACCTTTTAAGAACATTTTCTTTACCAAGTAAGGCAGTAACTTAAAATATGTGACCCGATTGCTTGCAGCCCTTCTCTTTCACAGCTCATCCATCATTACGCTGCGAAACCCTCAAGTAGCCACAAGCCCAWGCAGCAAGTAGAGGTCAGAGGTCACACCCTTGATGGGTTTTCCTAATCTCTCAATGATGGGGGTGATAGGTACCACCCATAAAGCTGTCTGGTGTAGAGCCTTATAGGGCTGTCCTTGGCTGAGACTCACCATCTTGTTGCTGCCATGTTTGGCTCTCACTGATGTTTGAGTCCAGATACGAACTGTCACAAATACTTAAAGCACGAAGATSAAGAAATCTGATTAACTCCTCCCCGGAGATCTGTAGGAGGGTTTCATTGTCAACAATGTATTTTCTTTTTTTATTATTATTATTATTCAGAGGAAAGTCTGCAGGCAGCTCAGACCAGGTCACAGCACGAAAAAGGACAAAGTCTTGCAGCTTTGATTAACCTCTCTGTCTGTTGCATCACGAGGAGAGAATTTCAAACCGTGTAATATGATAATTAATCATTTCCCTACAGTAATGGTTTTATTTAAGTTGCCATTTCTTCCCTCCTCTCCCTTCCTGGGCTGCCACCTCATCGTGGTGGAGGGGTTTGAGTGTCCCGAGGATAGGAGCTGTTATCAGGAGTTTCATGTCCCTGGGTGAGTCACCCAAAGAGGTCTTAGGTGAGGAATCAGACAAAATGCAGCCAAAAGACCCCTCATGATGAGTAATATCAGTGGAAACGATGTTCCCTCGCTAGGATCACCGGGGCCCCACTCTGGAGCCAGGGCTGAAGGTGGGGCACGCTGGTGGCCGGGTCCATGGAGCCGGGAAAGGCGTAACCTGAAGAGGCAACGTGGATCCCCCTTCCCATGGGCTCACCACCTGTGGGTGGTCTAATCCTCCGCTACAGAAGCTGGGTTTAGGGATGTGGAATGTCACCACTCCGGTGGGGAAGCAGTCTGAACTGGTTTCTCAAACTTATTGGGTCTGAGGACCCCTTACAGGGGACCCCCTCATAAACTTTATGCTGACTTAAAAGTGATTTAATACCATTTTAACCCCTAAATGCCATGGGAATAATTAACGCTTGTTTGGTTGAGGATGTTTGTTTTACTGGTGCGTTGTTCCCCTTATTTTTTTTAAAATGATAAACAAAATTAACAGTTTACTATAATTTTTTAAGGATCCCCAAATTCAGCTCACAGACCCCCAGACGCCCTAGGACCCCAGTTTGAGAACCTCTGATAGATGATATGTGCTCTTGGCACCAGGATACATTAGGTCAGAGTTCGATGATTGACTTTTTTATTGTCTCATCTGATCTCGGGTGATGAAAGCGGCGGAGCTGTCTGGTGCTGAGGTGGTTCTGATGGTGGGGGAGGATACTGCTCAGACCTGGGTCTACTGGGAACACTTRGAAGTCTCATGTCAGACTGAGCTYCAACTCCCACCTTGTGTCATTTTATTTAGCAGGGACGTAAAWGACCTACATGAGTCCTTWAAGTGCCTGTGACGTCAAWTTTTTGTAATAAACATGRATGYATTTTTGGGRAGATAACGTGTTGCAAAACAAATTTCACGTTGCTGAGATGAACGGTTGATGAGATATTTACATGTGAAGAGACAGGAAGTGATGTCAAAGGGGAATGTCAGCATGTAAACAGAGCGTCGTTACGAAAGCTAACAACACAGACGAATTTGATGTTCCTTTAGATTATTTTTAGTCACTATCAAAGAGAGAGGAGTTAAATTTTTAAAAATTGTTTTAATGAACAGAGACGAGCGAGTTTATTTATTAATGAGTTCTCCTTTGATGTCACTTCCTGTTTCACTTTGGCTGAACCCAATTCAAAAGAAAATAGACCAGTTATGTGACAAAACGGGTAAAATCATGTGTACTATGTCAATTTTCTTAAGTATAAAGATGCTTTCTTTGACTTTTTGTATTTGAAGGATAAGCATGTCCCGGGCATTTTAACTGATTTTTGTATTCCCTTTTGTCTCCTCTTCTTTGTCTGTCCTCCATCTCAGTGTTCAAAACTCTTCTATCCCSTCTGCTCGCCTTTCCCGCCTCGCTTCTTGAGTCTCTGTCTCTCAGGGGGGCACTACGGTCGTAGGCAGGGATGGGGGACTGGAGTCTTCTTGGGAACTTCCTCGAGGAGGTCCAGGAACACTCCACCTCGGTCGGCAAGGTCTGGCTCACCATCCTCTTCATCTTCCGCATCCTGGTGCTGGGCACGGCGGCGGAGTCRTCCTGGGGCGACGAGCAGAGCGACTTCCTGTGCGACACCCAGCAGCCCGGCTGCACCAACGTGTGCTAYGACAGCGCCTTCCCCATCGCCCACATCCGYTACTGGGTCCTGCAGATCGTGTTCGTCTCCACGCCGTCCCTCATCTACTTGGGCCAYGCCATGCACATGGTGCGCATGGAGGAGAAGAAGAGGAGGAGGGAGCAGGAGGCAAAGGAGGCMAGGGTGGACGGTGGAGAAGACCTCCAGGAGGAGAAGGAGTACCTCCAGCAGAATGAGAGCAAAAAGGAGGTTAGCTCTGAGGGGAAGGGCCGTCTTCACCTGAAGGGAGCTTTGCTGCAGACTTACGTCCTSAGCATCGTGATCCGAACAGCGATGGAGGTGATCTTCATCGTGGTGCAGTATCTGATCTACGGGGTGTTCCTCAGGGCGTTGTACCTTTGCAAGGCGTGGCCCTGCCCCAACCCCGTAAACTGTTACATGTCTCGACCCACGGAGAAGAACGTCTTCATCGTCTTTATGCTGGTGGTGGCTGGCGTGTCTCTCCTGCTGTCCGTGTTGGAGCTCTACCACCTCGGCTGGAAAAGCCTCAAGAGGTGCATCAGCGACCAGACGGCCCAGAAGAACAACCACAGAGCTGTGACCGTGTCCGCAGCCTTGGAGTCCAACAGCCACCCGAGAGCCTCGGCCTCCCGCACCCCACCCCCGGACTTTGACCACTGCCTGGCAGCCCCGAGCTCCATGAGCCCCATGACCTCCATGACYGCTCACCCTTTCAACACCAGGATGGCGCTGCAGCAGAACTCGCTCAACCTGGCCACGGAGCGGCACCGCAGCTGCAACAACCTGGAGGACGAGGAGGACTTCCTGAGGATGAAATACGAGCAGGAGCCTCCAGAGCTCCCCAACAACTGCTCCCCTCCGGCTCCGCCGCACCACGGGTACCTGAAGGACAAGCGGCGTCTGAGCAAGTCCAGCGGGACCAGCAGCCGGGCTCGCCAAGACGACCTGGCAGTGTAGATTTAACGTGGAGAAGCTGAACGCACGGAGGGAGGAGGAAGGTCTGGACGTTCGGAGACAAACGGGAGACAGAAATACAAGTTTCAACAGAACAAATACTAAAACGTAAAGTTTCTTCTTCAAAAACAAAATAACTGGACTTATTTTTGAAGTTGAAGCCTCATTTCCTTGATAATCGCAAAACTACATCAGAATTTACTCTAAAAAAACAGTCTGACTAACCTTACAAATTCTGATTCTGAGGTCTGACTCTTGACCAAAAGAGATGAATCACATGTCCACAATAAAAAGAGACGCTGACATTTTTGAGAAGATTCTGGAAGCATTACATGAGCAGAATTTATATCCTAGAGCTTGAAAAAAAAAACTCAAACTGCAAAAAACAATGACGACTAAAAACAGGGTAACAGGTGTGGTACCTGACTGTTGCACATTTTATGCTTTAAGAACAAAGAAAGGGATCAGATGGGCATGACGCAAGGACATCGGTGCGAGGGGACTTTAGGAGTTGTTTTATTTGAAAGCAAATCAATCCAAACACATCTCAAGTATCCAGATAATTACACAATAAACTACCACTCAATAAATCAAATCAGTTGCAAATATGGGCGATGTAATGAATAAAAAATCAGAAATAAAATGTCTGAAACTGTGAAAATGTTCTTGCATTTGAAGGAAAAACGATAAAGTGCCTTTGCAAATGTTACAAGTAGCTTTTTTCTTTTTACATGCTTTTACAATTTTTGTAATTCTTGTTCTGTTGTATTAATTGTATATTACTTAAGACAAACTCTAACGTGATAATAATAACTTAAAGTGGGCAAGTATTGTTTGAAGTTAGACTCTTTTTGGATATTTTATGAGAGAATGTGGCCTTTTTTTGTCTTTTATATTACCTTACCCATCTGCAAAGAAATGGTTCTGATTTGATGCTTGTAATGAATAGGAACAACCACCAGATGGCGCCATTGCAGYGGTTGCTTGGCTTTTGCACTAAAGTTTTTGCACTGTATGTTTCAGTTTATGTGTTTGGATGCATTTTTATTCAACTGTCTTTATGATGTATACAGAATAATTGTTCAGATAAATAAAATCATTACAACAGGAAGTTTGAAGAGTTATATGATTCAACCAAAGAAAACAAGACTCGTTTGATTTTCATACAGTCCTTCACTTAATACAAGTAGTCATCAACCTACAGCAAACCATTATACTGTCACATTATGTCATTATTAATTTTTGGCGTTTTTAATAATAACTGAATCACATGCAAAAAAAATGCTGTAAAMTTGACAAGAATCACAAACAAAGAGATGCAAACACCAGCTGTTCACATTCTGCTGTGTAACCACACAGAAATTGAAGGGGCCATATTGGGGATATTGAATATTTACACAAACACAGACTGTCTCTCTCTGTCTGCCAGAAAGCTGTGCATCCATTTCCAGCTCGAGCATTCACAAGCTTAAACACAAAGACGCTCGCACAAGGTTCTTATGTTCATTTGAGATTTTATTTCTGTAAATTAAAGTTGCAATTTCCTTGTATTTAGAGTTAAAATATTAACTGAATAAATTGAAATATGAATTAAATATTCCATACGTCACACTAATTCACATTGTATATTTTAACTGGTTAACAATTTTGAAATTTTTGAATACAAACTAGAATATAAACTGTGTAAAAAAAATAAAATAAAGACCATTTTTATTTTAACTAATTATTTAGTTGTCATTATCTAATTATTTGCATTGACAGTAGGTACTGTACTTAAAGTAGATTACCAAAATAAATAAGTAAAATACTTTGACGCACACTTTTATGCCCACTAGAGGGCGACCGCACGC